AGTCCAAATCCAATGTCTACATTTCAATATTTAGCACCACAGCCAGAACCCCGCAAACTCAAGTCAATTTAACTGGGCTCTGAAACTCAGCATCACAGGTCTTTTATTGCAGTGTAGACATGTCCTCAATCACTATAATAGCAGCAGAGATATGTTATGGCTGTTATTATAGACTGAGGACTTCAGTGGCCTTCACCCTGATTATCCCTTTAGGATGAGATATTCCACTGGATCCATGTAATCATAGAATAAGTCCAGGACCATATATGGCTATACTGGGAGTGGGACAGGATTTGCTTGATAGAGGACAAAGTTTAGTACCTGTGACTAGAGTAGCAATATATTCATTATTGCTGATCAGCCACTCAGCCAGTATACAGCTGGACAGAGCTCCCAGGAAAGGCATCATAGAAGGAGAAAGACATGGAAATCTGATTGCATTTTGTTTTCACCGGTCTATACCATGAACTTTTTGGAGCACAGATGAGTCAGATACATACAGGGAAAGCTCCCTCTCCATGCTATTGTGATTAACCAGAGTCAGAGAATCAATGTAGCAACTGGCAATGTACTGTAGCTTTTATAACATTCTCTGCCTCACACCCACTTTTTATTCTACACTTTGCAGTTCTTGATTTTTCTGTTCATGTTTTCTTCTGCTAGCTTCAGCGTGGCAGCCTTCACAGCAGCATGGTGTGTCTCAGAAATGAAGTATCTTAAATGGGGGCCCAGCAATATAGGCGACTGTATTTCCCTGCTTTGTTTTAGCATGATTGGATTAGTCTGCAATAGATTCCAAAGGCTTTATTCTGACACCTTCATTCCACAATTTACTGTTAGAAAGTCCATCAGTTCAGACCAGAGGTTCACCACAGAAATGTAGGCCTGGCTAGAGCTGGTTTCAGGGACTGGATCCTGAAATGGCTCCAAGACTTGAATTATAATCTCTATAAGACTCCATAAACTGAGTCAATGGGTTGATGCAAAGATCAGCCAAAAAAGACGGTGAAATCCACTTTATTTCTCAGAAGATTCTCTGGCCATAACATCCTCAATGAGCTGGGTAGCAGCCAAAACTAATTCTCTTCATTTGTCAGGCAGCCTAAGGATAGCAGGAGTGGTAGAAATCACAGATCAACTTGTGGCCGTAAGGTTTCTTCTGGAGAGCTGCTGTAACATACTTTTGAGGCTTCAGGGAACATGCAAAGTATTCCACACTGCATACATTAGTCATTAAACCATGTGCTGTGTTAACTCCATTATCCCTGGCACTCACGGGAGCTATTTTTGGTGAAGTATGATTGTTCGAGTAATCCCAGACTTCAAACTCCCTGCACAGAAAAAATATTAACTAATCAGATGACTGTGAATCAAAAATCAAAACAAAACAAACAAACAAACAGAGAACACACTGTTATTAAAGAATAATACAAAAATACAACAATGTGGAACTAGCCAGGTATGCATTCAATTTAATTTTTCAGCCAGGTAAACCATTCCCTGTTTTTCATTTGTATATTTTCTATTTAGATTATAAAATTCCTGAGGTAAGAATTATGTTTCATGCCTGTTTATAAAGCTTTTAGCATACTAGTGATACAACCCCCCCCAAAAGTAATAATAGTTAATAACAATAATAATGATTTTCTTTTAATGTTGTTCACGCTATCCTTTGCCTATCCAATTATCTTGTCAGCTCCAAAAATGACTGAGTGGTACAGGAGCATGGAAATGCAAGTACTGTCAGGGTTCATAGAGGCTTTTGAACTGTGGGTTTCTCAAACAGTGCTGGAGCTACAGATGGAACTCCTGTCCCCTTACTTGCCCTTCTACCTTCATCTCCATCAAATCCAATAAATGGCTACCATTCCATGGTGATGCAGTTCTTAAGTGTTCATCATGTCTGCTTCCTTGACATGCATACAGGATGAATAAGCTATGTATATTATGCCCCCTTCGACCATCTCAATTTGGCTAGAAGACTCTACCGCATCATAGTGAACGATGACCTGGCCTGGGCTTATACATGTCTTTGTAACCTCCCATCTGGACTACAGCAATGCAATACATCTGGGCATTAAGCCATCATCTCCCAGGAAACTCCAACTAGTACAGAATGCTGCAACACATGTTCTCAGTAATATGGTCTATTGTAAACACATAAAACCTGTTCTTCATTCTGTACTCTGGCTTCCAATAGAATATTGAATGAAATTCAAGAACTCCATCATTATATTCAAAGTGCTCAATGGCCTGGACCCAGCAAAACTGATTTATCACCTAAAACCCAGGATGAAAACTATGATCAACTACTCTACTTCTCAGACAAAATGGAACTTTCCATCATAGAGGTGAAGTTAATCTGTGCAGGAGACAGCACTTTCCTGAGTGCCAGTCCAACACTATGGAACAAACCCTCCCAGAAAGTAACGACCATCACCCCATGCTGCTTCAAGTGCAAGGAACACTTCTTAGACTTTCCCTTCTCTAACACAAACATATAGAAGTGTGTACATTTAAAAAAGAACAAAAATAGAGAACTTCTCAAAACAGTAGCCACAAGAGTCAATCGTCAGACTTTCATTATACCTACCTGGCTGGCTGTTTTGGAATGTTGAGATGCTAGTCGCAAGACTTAAAAGATTGGATATGTCATGCCATGGTCATCATGTCTCACAAATTTGAAGGTCAAAGCAAATACTCATATAGTTTGTGCTCATCTAATTTGACTTCCCTCATCATATAACATAAACCTCAGAATTTCACCCAGTGATTCCTTCAGCAAGCCCAAAATCTTGTGTTTGAACTAAAATATTGTAATATCACCTGTTACCCACGTTTTTGAACTACTAATGGGTCTGTGTATAAATCAAATCCAAATAAGGTATTTATCCTGTCCCACTGTGGTGTAGTGAGAAATCCCTTCCATGATTACTTAAACCAGGCTATGTGCTGAGATTAGATAGTGGAGTGGAGGCTGTGATTAATTCATGAAGGAGCTAGAGAGGCAGAGAGAACTACAGGGGCTTCTCTATGTCGAGCAGCTAAAACAAAGAATCATCTCTATATTAGTTGTTCTATGTATATATTAATTATTTTTTTAATGTGGAGAACCAAAGGCCTCAGTCAGGATCTGGGACCTTTTGTGTTATGTATTTTATACACATAATATTATATAATACCTGTCCCAAAGTCTCAGGCCTTGATCCTACAATAAGTACTGGATAGGTAGACTTCAGTAACTGAGGGGAGACCCAGTTCATTTAACAGGGCACTACACAGATACTATACAGTACTCGTTGCAGGAGCAGGCCCTATTTAGGCCGAAACACAGTCAGAGAGAATAACCGAGTCTTGCCTTCTTTTCTACCCCAAGGAACGCTAAACCTTCTGACCTCTAACAACTGAACCATTGAGTTCTGGAATTGTGGGTTGTCATCTATCCCCAACTGAATTTTGTACACTAGGTAAAAATTTCTAAATAACTTAGAAGCCTAAGTCTCATTGACTTTTATTGGGATTTAAGCTCCTAGGTCTTTTTTTGAAAATGTTACCTATTACCCTTACAACTCCCCTCTACAACTCTGGCAATAGGCAAACTGAATAACATCTTACTTCTGTGTAGGCACAGGAGTGCCCTTTTCTTCTATCCAAAGGTACAAATGAAGTGGGGGGCAGCTTATTTCATAAACTCATTTTGTATTTTCCCTCACTGAAAGTCAATTATGTGTGTATGTACAAAACAAAAGAATGAAGCAGTAATATAATGAGAAAAGAATTAATAATTATAGTTTACAACAAAAAGAGAAGATAATACATAGTATGACATAAATAGAATTTCAAAAATCCATTACATAATGGAATGCATCCCATTGTACAAAAATATAGAAATGTAACATGTTTAAAACACAAAGGAAGATTCAAAAACAATGGTGAGTGATTAATCAAAAATTACATTTTAATTTCAGTAAAGGGCAAGTGAGAATTTGCTTAAATATAGTTTTATTTCATCCCTCTTCATTGAAATCCTATGTAAATGCTTGCAATTATTTTGTCCCCACTTTCTTTGCACTACGGTTAAAGATAATTGGGACCTGATGCTGCTCCCATTGAAGACAGTGGCAAAGATCCCATTGGCATTGATCAGATTTTGATCTGTCCCCTAGTCTTCTGCATGATTTTTTTAACTGTCTTCTATACCAGTTACTGCCCTGGTTTATGAAGTCTGCCACTGTAATTTATTAAAATAAATTAGCAGTAGCACAACCTGAGGATAAGCAAACCAGTCTGGATAAATGAAACCTGTGTGTCAGAGGCTCAGTGGCTATAAATTGGTGCAGCTTCATTGGCCCTTTCTCTATTATGAGAGTGGTACCATAAGTCTCTCTCTTACTGCTATGATCATAGCACTGCCTACCATTTATCTAGTCTCACTGACACTGAACCAGTTCTCCACATCCCACATGTTCCTCTAACTGGTGTTATATTAATTTAGATACAATATATGGGCCAAAGGAGTTAACATGACCCAGTCATTGTCCAACATTAAAAAGTATTAACCAAGGTTAGGGGTTGGTATACAGAGACCTCAGCCTGCTGAGTACCATGGCAAACACACAATTAAAACATGTAACAGTGTATTAAAGGTACAGTAAAGAGGGGGAAACAGTGAAAACATTTGAATGTAAGGTATTAAGTAAAGCTTTCATTTTAACAACATCCCATGTTCCTTTTCCCTTTATCTGGAGAGAGTTTTTAGAAGGAAAAACCCCGTTGTTTGACAGGCTTTTTAGATGGTATTAAAGATGCCAATAACTGTCATTTTGGGGGAAAAGAGAAAATATTTGAGATGGGCTGGAGTTGTTGCTGCTGTTATTGAAGTCTGACCCCATTCATCCCAGGTGGTGGTTGGGATTCAGCTGGAGCTAATAGAGATGGTGACATCATCTGGGTCCCTCTCTCTGGCTTGATCTGCTCAGGATATTCTCGGGATCAGGATGACAAATTCCCAGGGTCCCAGGAGGTGGTGAGGGTGGCAGCCATCATGGTGAAGCTTGCTCCAGTAGCCATTTCCCTCCACCCAAGTCTTTTTCATTTTCCCCACAAAAGGAAAGGTGAGTGGAATAGCCCATCTCCTCATTATTTTGTTTACCAACTGGGCCTAGTTTTTGACACACCAATTTTGGTTTACTGATATTTGGTTCCACACTTTTTTGGTTTACCAAGCATGATTTTAACACAGTTCTTAAGTTATATCAGCAGGTCTTTTTGTTTGGATTAATTTAGTTTTTTTGTCTCTCTTTTGTACATTTTCCTATCAATATTGGTTACTACCAGTTATTGTGATGTTTTATGAACTTTCATGTATGATGAACTCACAATTAGAATAAATTTGTAGGCCCTATTATTACACCATGACACCCTGCTCTTGATCTCCTTTTTTCCCCAGGAAGGGACACCCCAATATACCAGCATCCTATTGTCCCTGGGAAGACTCAAACTAGCTTGCCAGCCAGCATCCTGCTCTTCTCTTCCTCCAGAGCAGGACATCCTCTAACCATATGTACTCTGGTGTCCAGTTCTATTCCCAGGAAGGGGAAAGTAAAAATTAAATAACTAAATAAAACATTTAAATGATAAAGTACAGGCGGGAAAAGACTTTTCCTCTGAAGTGCATATCAGAAACTATTCCAGGCAGAATATTCTTAGAGCTTCATGCAGCTGCTGTAATCTCTCCCTTTCAGTTGCTATGCTCCTGCGAGGCTGGTGAAAGTAACGTAGGACCCTAGTGGTGCTGTGATGAGACCTTTAAGAGTAGATCAAAGTACTACCGCAGAGATACTTACTCCCTTAAGCACTCCCAAACCTTTGCCTACACATGAAACTAAACCCTCTTTTGCATGTGTGTGTTAAAAATGTTTTCCCCTACATTATGATGTCTTATTTTGGAACCCCACCAAGCCTGCAGGTGGAACCAGATACCAAAACACTGAGAACAGTCTTGTGTACCACCTGTCTCTGGTGGATTCAATAATAAAACTCCCATGGCTTCACTAATGCAGGACCAGCTTATTTCCCACTTTGCAAGGAGTAGGAAGTGCCAGAAATCACACGAGAAACCCTTTGCTCACAATATTTCCAGACATATTTTGGAGGTGTATGAGATTACAATAGTGGTCCCCAAAAACATTGGAAAGGCCTTTGTAATTAAATAACATTTCCATGGTATTCTTTAAGTATTCCCTATATTAAGTCTAAAGAAGCTTAGATAATATTATGAATCCCAGAGTAATGCTATCTACTTGCCAAGGCATCAATGAAAAATTGTTAAGGATGATGTTTGGGGCAGAGTTGGTCAAAATATTTTTATTAAAAAAATTTTGGATGAAAAATGGCTTTTTACCAAACTGAAATTTTGTAGAGAAATGTTCATTCTGTTGAATTTTGTGCATTTTTTGATGAAAAATCAGAAACTGATTTTTTTTTTACCAGAAATACTTCTGTAAATAAATAAATAAATAATCCCAGTTTAGTTTTTACTTTGAGAAAAAACTGCAGGGGCATATTTTTAAAAAACATGAAGGTTTTATTCTAAATTTCTAGTAAAAAATAATAGATATTTTATAATACATTTAAAATAATAGCTCGATTGTTAAATGATCAAACTTGAGTACTTTTCCAAACCAAGCTTTTGAGTCATTTGCAGTTCACCTATCATGATATAGAAATAAAGAGAAGAGGTCTTCGTCACTGGAGGACATGATATATGATGTTGGTATGCTGGGAAACTATTGCTAAACCTTTCACATTCTGGGATCTCCTATTAACTCTTTTAGTTTAATGCTGGCTGTTATGGAGCCATGCAACAGTTCATTGTAAATCAGAGAATATGTGAGTTTGAAGACTGCTGATAGTTGCATAGTATTTCATGGTAAATATATTTTATGAAGTTTTAAGGGATTTTGTAACAACGATGCTTCAATAAATGATTTACTGAGGCAGCAAAAGCTCAAGGAATTTCTCAGATTGCATGTCAGAGCATAAAAAAACCACAAGTTTATGAACACCTTGGCAGCCCCAAGGGTCCTTGCACTTTTAAAAACATGTGTGGCTGCTAATTGTACAGCATTATATTTTCAAAAAGGTGCCAACTCTTTTAGGAAGTGAAGTTACTGGGCTTCAGTAATATGCAAAGCAAAGGAATGTTCATTTAGAGTGACCATTGCTCACATTATTCTAAATATTGAGAGCTTTACAACATAAGGGAAAATACGGGTTTACTTAGAAATTAGCTAAGAAATGGGTCAGGATCTGGATCGAGATTTGGTTTAGGCTACAGATCAGATTCAAGACAAAACTTGAGGTTCAGATTAGAGTTTGTCAGTAAATCTCAGTTTTTTGAGGGAAAATAATTTGTCACAAAATTAAAAATTTCCAGGAAAAAAATAATAAAAAAAGATTTTTCCATTAACAATTCAATGCACTCATTCTTCTTTGTGGACTAGCCTTCCTGGCTGGACTATATCTCTCATGATTCACTGCAGTCTCCCCTTTGGTTGAATTGATCATAGAATATCAGGATTGGAAGGGACCTCAGAAGGTCATCTAGTCCAACCCCCTGCTCAAAGCAGGACCAATGAGCATCATAGAATGTAATGTGACCATGGTGCATCATACAAGCTGTAGTTCAGGTGACGAACATAAGGCACCAGAAATGCAGCTCTCATGAGGCATTGTGGCAGTTTGGGGGAACATTTTAATATTGAACCAAGCTGCAACAAAACTTTTCAATTCAGCAATGTGAAAACGTCACAATCACAAATGTCAAAAAGAAAGTGTTTTAAATAACATTTGTATGTGTTTAGGAGTTCCTTGAAAAACTTCATTATTTTAACTTTTTGTCCCAATTCAGGATAAAAATATATTTAGTAATATCAGAATTTCCTGCAGGATGGAAATTCTGAATTTTGGACCAGCTGTAGTTCAGATATGTTATAATTAATTATAGCAGGACCAGTAATAGTACCGGAAGAAAAGCAGCAGTAAAGGTGCCTCTGTTGACAGCTCCGAAGCTCTAACAGGGCAATCTGTCCCTTTAAGGGCCCGTGGAGCCAGAGAGCAGCACTCCCTTGCCCTAAGGAGAAGCCTAGCAGGCAGGTATTGCAAACCAGCTGATCCAGCTAAGCAGCAACTAATGATTGGCTTTGATTCCCAGCTGGAAGACATAAGTGAGGACCCAGCTCTGTAAGACAGGATATGCTAGGAGAGGCAAACACTTCCTGGAGCTAGAGGACTGGTTGGCTGGCCGGTCCTGTGGTCCCCCCGAGACTTAGAGAGGTTTATGCTACTGGAGCATAGAGGAACCTGCAGTGTCCGTCCAGGTCAGGAATATCCCTCTTGTTACTTCTTCATATTTCTTGTGTGTGTGTGTGTGTCAGAAAAATGAAAGAGCCTGGGTAGAAGGCTAAAACAGAGTTGAGCATGGCTGACTTTTTGTCCCCATGATAGTGGACAGTTCTACCAAGCTACATACTCCATGTATATCCCACTCACCTGCATCATCAACTGAGGGACATCTGCAGAGTGGCAGGATGGATGTGAGTCTGCCTTTGAGCAATCAGAACTCCGCCTATGTCTCCCCCTTGCCCACAGCTCTTCAGTCTTTGTCATGCTGAACAAACAAAGCACAAAAACAATAGAAGTCAGCTCACATTTGAGCCATTGTCTTTACCCACTTAAAAACTCCTGCCTTCACAGCTGCCAGTGCCTTTGCATTTCATCTTCTTCCCTAATTGAATGAGAGATCTTGTTGAGGAAGTACCTGGCATAGATCTCCTTGCCTCTTTTGGAGACTGGCCCATGGTGCCTACATTCTGGCTCCTTCTGCCCCTACCTGACTCATTGTATGTGTGTGGACAGAAAATGTGTCCCTGATTCAGCAAAGCACTTAAGCATAATAGGACTCCTCATGTGTTTAAAACTAAGCATGTGTTTTAAGTGATTTGTTGAATTGGGACTTATGGTATAACTGTGTTTGCAGGAATGTCTCTACATGTTCTGTCCCTCCCTGCCTTTTCTTCAGAAGCCATATTTACCACAGTTGACTGATGCAGTATGTCCATACAAAATTTTGAAAGTCAATGAGAGTTAAGTGTCTAACTCACGCAGGTGTTTTTGAAAATCCAAGTAAGCACCTATCAGACTCCTTAGGAATCTAAATAGCTTTGAAAATAGTCCATGTAAAAACTGTATAAAATGGACAATTAGGAATGCTACAGTTAGGGTTGCCTGTACAACCTTAATTCTGCTCTACTTGTGCATATGTATTATTTTTATGCAGTCTTGTATTACATAGTCAGATACTACTATTCTTTCCACGGGCCCCTGCCTCATTCCATACACACTTTGGAATTGTGTATGGACAGGGTTGTGAATCTTCTGGGGTGCAGTGTTCCTGAGCCTCATTCACTGCCTCTATTGTACAGTGTGTCTTGATAGCATTTCATGTAAATATGGCAGAATCTAGCCCTATATGTTTAAATAAAAATCAGAATTCTATTGTTACACTGGTCTACAATTTTTGAGAAGTCAACTGCTTCAGAGATAAAATGTGCAATTTATTATATATTTTGATGTGCTGAATTCAAATATGACAATTAAAACAACTGATTGGCTACTGTTTCTAAGATATTTAAGTTTTTACATTTTATCTCTATGTATATTGTGTAGATAGTGGAGTTTTAATCATAAATTAAATACCTAGATTTTATCATAAACTTATGTTCTCTCTCCATGAT